AGTTTCCCTACAACGTTGTTACGTGAACAACTTGCACAAACATCTTTTCCGGTGGTTGTTAGACGGTGGCTGTCCGACTTTGTTGACCCAAACTCCACCAATGCGATCCAATAACGGTACATTGCCGATGTCGGTATATAAATAGCCTGTCCTAGTTAACTTAACTGATGGAGTGACATAATCTATTCACTCCACCGCTGACTAAAGTAACATCCCAAGTAAAAGAAAACTTCCATGTTTTCGAAACCGGATAGGATGTTGAACCAAAAAAATTAGTGGTTGATTGTTCAATGGTTACTCGTTATAGAACTGATGATTAACTGTTGTTGAGATTGTACGTGCGCAATAATATAAAAGACATAAATAATAAACTAATTTAAGAGTGAATTTATCACTAACCATAAAAATTTTAAATCCATATCATTTATTAAAAGAAATTCTCACAAAGTATTCAAACTATCTCACAAATGAAATTACAAAATTTTGAGCTAATAACACTACAACACCCAAACTATCACAAAAATAGCACCAGTGTCATATTTTATTCAATATTCCAATCCTTTCCTGTCGCATGATACTTTTGTGACATTTGTATCCAAAAGATTTTGTTGACCGTTATTAATAACAGTTGAACAAATGATGGTCAAAGTGATGTTGGCTTTTGTTGACGTGGCAAAAGCGTGACAACAACGTAGATGCCACATTAGATTATTTTTTATTCAAAGTTAAATTTATCACTTTCATTCGCACTAATGAAAACTCTTGTTGATTTGGATTTAGATAAAGTAGATTGGGTTAATTAGAAATTTAAGTGGATGGATTGGATTGGTGAACTGATACAAAATTATCACCTCTAAGTCAGAGATTATGAAAACTCTGGCCAAACGAGGCTGTTTCGGGGTCCGAGATTAGAGGAGCGTTAATTATGCCATTTTGGCTAAATGAATATGGAGATTCGTAAAGGAGAGAAGCCCTGGTGGAGAATATGGTTCAGTAAAAATCTGAAGGTGTTGCAAACAAAAGGTGTAATTAAATTCGATTTTGACATCAATTTGAAAACCGATCGAATGCCCACTTCTAAAGAAAGCTAGCTGTTGCATACAAACAAACGCAGGCTTTGGTACGTATATGCCAAATGAAATGAACCATGTTCCCGTTGATTTGTGGCTTTTATTGATCAATCAGTAACAGTTCCTTCCGGAGCTAGATGATTATTCTCTGGTAACTTAAAACAATAGTCAACTGATACGACTCATACGAGTCCTTATTGGTTATTTTCATCAGAAACAATTCCCAGTATTTCCCAAAAGATAAAAAACCAAACTCATTTATGACTTGACATCATCTCTATGTTAATATATAATGTCGGGTATACCATTTTGTAATTTGTAGAGATAGGGTTAGCTATCTATTTTGCCTATATATATGTACATAGGGTCACTAGAACTGATTACCGGATTATTGTGATAATAAGATTGTTGGAGAGTGCTCACTCTCCGTGGAGTGGACTAGTCCTGTTCATATCGAACAAGGAAACCACGTAAATAATGTGTCTTGTTCTTTATGCATGATTTCCGTGATGTGATTGACATGGTATCAGAGCTTGCTCGCGTAATTAGCTCGTATATGGGATTCTTCTCTCTCAGTATGTGCTTGTCGACTTCTCCTGATCGGCACGTAATTCTTATTTTGGTCTCTGGTTGGCGTTTCCGGGTCGGCTTCTCGTGGTTCTCGGCTACTTCTGGTCGCCGAGTCCTTTTTTTCTTTCTTTCGCTTGGCTGCTTCTAGTCTCTGGTCGGTTGCTTTAGGTCGGCTTCTCTGCCTGGTGCTCTATTTCTCTTTGGGTCAACATATTCTGCTTGTCTTGGCCTTATTATTCTTGACTAGATAATTGGCCTGCGTTTTATCGCGGATGGTGTGAATATATAATTGAAAGATTGAATTAGAATAAAAGATACTTTGATTGTAGTTTGATGAGTTGGAAGTTTACATAAATTCATCATATAATATTCAAGAAATTATCAAGATATAAATGCATGACTTTTGCTCATGAAAATTTGTAATACTATATCAAGGATAAATTTTTTTCAATAGCATGAAGTTATGATGATCAAATCACCAAAAATTCATTTCATATATGGTGAAAAGAAGCATGGAAACCAAAAAATGTGACAATTAAATAGTGTTAATGAATATGTACCACATAGAATTGTTTAAAGGGCAAAATTTGGCTGCTGTCTGGGTTGCAGCCCAACGCTGCTACCCAGCCACATGGCCTTATCTCATTGGTTTAATTATGAATTTATTATTAGATGTTAATTAAATTTGGACGGGACGGAGACATTTGACAGCTTTGATTTTGGACGGGACATGAGACGGTGAAGCAGGAAAGACGACAACTTAGTTCTGGGTTATTGTTTGTGTTATGCAGGCCATTTTATGATGGGTATGTCAAATTGATCATGCTCATACGTGGGTTTACTCCATTAGGTTATAGTGAAGAGGAAATGGCTATGTAAAATTAATTAAATTATTAGGTTAATAGCATTTCGTATTTATCTATTATAAAAAATTAACAAATGTATATGTCTATTAAAATTTTGCACAAATAGACATTTTTTAATATTAAAAAATAATGAGTTTAATCTTCCATCTAATTATCTATGTGGCCGTTAAAGAAATTGTGAAATGACCCAATGGCCCTCCTTTACTCCCAAACACTCCTGGTTTTAATTATTTTATTATGTCCAAAATAAATTAATTAAAAAAATCAAAATCCTAAACTAATTCACACGCACTTGACCGTATCTACTCTGAAGTCTCCCCTGGCGATCAGCCCCTTGACTCGGCGGCGGCTCCTGCTCCCGACGGCTGGAGTAGACAGAATTGGTTGATACGACAACCAGATAGACGGTCTCTCATCTAGTGTTTCTTTATTAATTTAGGGGTTTAATTTTTTAATTAATTGATTTGAGACATAATAAAATAATTAAAATCGAAATCAGGAGTGTATATAAGTAAATGAGGGGAAATTGAGTAAATTCATGCCACTTTAATGACACTTAACATATTAGATAGAATGGTAAACTCGTTACGTTTAATTATTAGAATGGTATGTTTGTCCAAAATTTAGTAGACAAATATGTTTGTTAATTTAGCATAGTACAGAAATACAAAATGTTATTAAACCTAAAAAAATTATATGACAAATATAAATAAAAATAAACAAACATAAATTGGTATCACACTCACACTGCCACCCATAAGTTCACTGTACGTTTCTTTCAAATTGTTTTGATAATAGGTTTCTTTAAATTTCCATTAGCACCAAGTTCCCGTATTTCACTATTTCCTTTTATAATAAATAGAATTCTCGCCTGTATTTGGGGAAAAAAGTTCCCTGTCTTTCCTACTTCTCCGTTTGAAAACGCCGTTAGATGTATGCATATCCGTTCCGTCCAAATTTAATTAGCATAATAATTAAACTAATAAAATGAGGCCATGTGGCTGGGTAGCAGCGTTGTGCTGCAACCTAGACAGCAGCCAAATTTCTCCCTTGTTTAAATACTATAAAATTTAGAGCATTAATCTCATCAATTTAAACTGGGATACTTATCACCTTCTTTACTAATCCTTATACAATATTTGCCTCACGTGGCTCTTATTCATAATTAGCCATAGGCGTGGGCGATGGGTGGGTTGGGAAGGGTTTTGGCATAAAATTGACTCACCCACTTAATTACTTGCGAGTTGGTATAATTGTGACCCGCTATATCCACCCACATTGTTCTTAGGGTCGGGTTGAGTGTGTGGCTGATGGGTGCTATTGGATCGTGGGTTAATTAACCGACAAAAATTATTCTCCAACTAACCATTAAGAAAGTTGACTAACATTTATAATAAGTTTCTAGCAAATTACTAAGATTGTATCAATTTAGACACTTCCCACTTGGTCTCAAGTGAATCCATGTAGTATTTGCATCAAAATTTTCATATCAACCAATTGTGTAGAGAAAACTTACGCATTTTACGATTTTGATACGATTAATAGTTTATAGTTTGCATCCGAATCTCTAATGGATATTAACCAATAATTTGCATCCTAATATCCAATATCTCATGGATATTGTGCAACACAATAACGAACAATAACATTCAAAACTATTCTTTATTCTCCACCTTTGTTTATAAGTAGAAGATTGTTCGTTTGTAGCGTGGTTCGAAAATATGATGAATATTCATTAGTATAAGAAACAACATTTTTTTCACGTGGAAATAAGGTGCGGGTCATTCCGATGGCCCGCAATCCACCCACCACCCACTCACATAAGTGCGGGTGATAAAAAACTGATATTGGCAAAGCTCAGTGTGTTCTCGTCTTCTTCGATCGCATGCAACTTTGGAGCAATATTAGAGAAGAAGTCCCCAGTGCAATTGCAGAGACATGTTTCCTATCTATGTTTTTGAAAGCATCTCAATGTGAGAATGTCAATCCGAGCTCTGCATGTTAATGATCCATTACTCTTAGTGGATTGCACAGAGCTCTAGAACAACTTTCCCTATGATTTTAACGTCCACCACTACAACAGAACAGTGATTTAGCGACGGTTTTTTTGACTGTTAGCGACGGTCAGAACCGTCGCTAAATAATTTAATGACGGCTGACCAAACGTCACTGACCTAGCAGTCCTTAAATTTTTTGGCGACGCTTCGGTCGACCGTCGTCATGATCGTCAGCAAACTTTAGCGACGCTATTAACCGTCGTCTTCTCTAACAGAACCGTCGTGAAATAATATTGAAAAAAGGGTCAAATTACTTAGTAACAGGTCCAACCGTCGCTAAAAGAAAGAGACCGTCGCTAATGAAGCTATCTTTTTTTTTTAATTCCCTGATCTATGATCACACACCAAATCTGTTGTAATATTTTTTGTCACAACCATTTAATAAATTCAACTAATAAAACCAATCTGACTTGGAATTACCAAATCAACAATAATAAACCATCGATCAACATTCCTTCAATTCAAAATCTGAGGAGTTCCATGTTCAACATTCTATCAAAAACTCAAAACTGAACTTAAACAAGTTGCTTATAGTCCTATTAACCCACCAAACTCTCACTTACAGTCCTTCTTAGGTCCTTGTACCACCAAATCCAGCACAGTGCAAGTTAGAACATCAGCTTCCTCAATTAACTGGAACCCCGACAAACCTGCAAACAACCCTTCATCCATCAAAACAGAAATAGCCGTTCAGCAATGCACAATTCTAAGGTGAGGAAGAAGAATGTAAAACTACGATTAGCTGCCTTTTTAGCTATTTTGCTAAGTACATTTACTTACTTAGAATGTAAACTATATTTGTAAGAGACATGCCTACTTTTCATATTAAGAATGGCTTCTACTCTTCAAATTGATAATAGAAGAGAAACTAAATGTCACACAATGCAGTAGCAACATGTTGCAGTAGTAAGTTCAAAATGAAAATTGACCAGCAACCCATAACATAAAGTAGAAACCTATCGACGAGTTGCACTCCACACTGAATAATCAAGATTATAGCATCATATAATTAAGAAAGGGAGTAGATAGAACCTACTTTGATGGTAGCCAGCCACGAGGGTCAAGATATTATGAGAGTAATTCCACCAGTTATCCACAAGGTCTTGCATGTCTGCCAAAACAAAAACAAATTCACCCCATAATTGATATTGGATCCTGTAAAACAACAAGAAAATGGTTCTTGATCATTTAAGAAAATCTGTTTGTGCCTAGATACCACCGAACGCTTTTCCTCCACCTTTCCACTTTTCCGTCACCCGGGCGCCTAGAACCTGCACCCACAAGCGCCTAAGGGCCTCGGTCGACCCGTTAGCACTCCGAAGCTCAAGTCAGTGCACTTTTCTAGAGAGATAAGTGTTTGGGAATAGTTTAGTGAGAGAAGCCAACCTCCGTAAATGCTATCGTCTGCCCCTATTTATACTCACCGAACCCGAGGTTGATCTCCGCCACGTCACCTCCTTCATTCAATGCTCTGCGCCCCCAGACAGCTAACCGCCCTGTCAGACTCCTGACACCTGACTGGCATTCCACAGCTCTGCCAGGCTCCTGACACACGACAGGCGCCCGCAGGCCGTGGTCCACCCTCCAGTTGGTCGCCACCTGGCTTTTGGTGCTCTGTGTGACAGCCAACCGCCCTGTCAGACTTCTGACACGCGACAGGCGCCCCGGGTCGTGGTCCACCAGCCAATTGGCCGCCACCTGGCTCTTGGTATCTTACTCTTTTGGGCTTTGTCCCCTAACTCACTGGGTAATACCCCCAACAATTGCCCCCCCAGTTAGGTGCTCGTGGCTTCGCCATCGAGCGCCTGACTGAACTTCTAGTTGCAACCCAGCCTTCTGCTTGACTGCAGGGCGCTCGTCACTCGGCGCCTGCATCGTGTTCTCACTTCTTTCTTGGTCCTACGAGGTTTGTTTGTTTCTCCTCCTCTGCGGTCAGGCGTTCCGCCTTTGGCTGTATCCCTTATCGTATGCTCTTCCCGGTGCTCCTGTGCCTCTTGCCTGCCGAGGCGCCTCTTACCAAAAGGGGCGCCTTTTTGACTAACCTTTCCTTTCGGGCGCTTCATGGTGTCGTTCTTGACGAGTGTCCTTATCCCTTATGCCCCCCTCACCCACGCTTTATTTGTCGGGGAAATTTGGAGAAAAGAAAATTCGAAATTCAAAATTCGAAATTCGAAATTCGAAATTTGAAATTTGAGAAATTTCCCCGAAAAGGAAAGGGTGGGGGAAGTTCAAAGGTCCGCCCGTGATTTTGTGGCGCGCGAAAAGACCAAAAGGTGGTGGGGAGCGGAAGGGTTTCTTCGGCATGACTGACACGTGTAATGCGACGGGTGAGCCCTTGTTTTTCTTTAAATACCCCCCCCTTTTGCGAAGCTGTCACTTTCTTCTATTTGTCCTATCTCTAGAATTTTGCTCTGACTTCTCTCTAGCTTCCGCTCTGACCTCTGTCCCCTTTGCTCTCTGCTTTGCGCGTCCAAGACACCACTCTCGTCCAAAAAATGTCGTCTCCACAACAAGACAAGACTTCTGCACCCGGCGCCTCGGGCGCAGGCGCCTCCGGCGACGGTGGTGAAGCAAGGCGCCCAGTTCAACGTGGTAAGTGGTCCTTCTCCTTTCGTCGATTTCGTTGAGTTTTTACTCTAGTCACTTAGGGTAGGGGCGTCACTTACCCCTTGTCCACGTTGCGTCTGGGTCATTTGTTGGTTTAGAGCGGGCGCCTGCTTCAGCATCTGGTGGACCATCATCGTCTGCCGGGCCGTCGAGTTCCTCGGCGCCTGGTTTTATGCCGGCCGACGGGTCTTACAAGATTACCTCATGGGAGAAGTGTTTTCCTCCCGATCATCTGCCTGCCGAGACGTCTCATCTATCCTTCGAGGTGGCCGGGCCGAAGCACACGTCCACAGTCACCTTGGAGCATGTTCACGAGTTGGTGACCAGCCTCCAACTTCCCCGAGACTGGTGGTATGCCCCCCCCTCGCCTCTGTCTCGGGTGGGCGTCTGTGGCCCGAAATGGATCGGAATTTATCAGGAATATTTTCGCTTCGGGCTGCAGTTTCCCCTTGACTCAATCATGGAGGGGATCCTGACAACTTGTGCCTGCCCCCTCGGGCGCCTCTCTCCCTCGGTCATAACGGTCGTCATCTTGTTCAAATTGAGGTGCCGGGAGCACAACGTCCGCCCCGGAAGAAGGCGAGGGGACGCCCGATATCGACCCCGCGGATAAGGAGGTTAACTCCGCGGAAGAGGAAGAAGAAGAGGAGCCTTTGCTCCGCAAGGGGAAGAGGGCAGGCTCCCCCTTAACCTCGGCCAGTAAAAGGGCCGCCAAAGGCAAGAAGAAGGTAGGCGAGGAGGACGCCTGCGAGGAGGACGCCTACGATGAGGTGGGCGTGGAGGCGGAGGCTGCGGAGGACGCCCGCCTCCATCTGAATGAAGAGGGGCGCTATGTTGGCCCCGATGGGCGCCCCCCCATCTTTCGGCCACGGCGTACCGAGGTGGGACGGGTCAACATGAACTGTTCCCCCTTGGTCGCCGTTGACCGAGGGTGTGCCATGGGATTGGCAATCGCGGCTGCCAAGTCCTGGCAAGTACCATCCGAGGTGACCAGTGATCACCTTTTTGCTGAATTAGCCCAAGTGGGCGCTAAGGTATGCGCCTCTTCGCACTTGTATTTTCATATCCTTCCTACTTGTTATTTTGCACAACTTGCTGACCCTTTTCTAATGGTTGCAGATCCTTCTTTTTGCTGAAAAAGGCGCCCGACGCCTCAGTGAGACGAAAAGGGAGGCGCTCGAGGCTTCCTCTTCGGCTTCTCAGCTGAAGTTGGATCTGGAGAACGCAACTGCACGCCGCGAGCAGTTTGCGAAGGAGTGTGAGGACGCCCAGATGACGGCCACCATGGAGTTGTCTCGTCTGCAAGGCGCCCTGGACGAGGAGCGCAATAAACTGGCCACCCTGCAGGCCGAGAAGGATGCGCTAGCGCAGGAAGCTGGCGCCCAGGCCAGTGAAATCGACATCCTCAAGGAAGAGAAGAGGAGGCTGAAGGACGCCCACAAGGAGAGCGAGAAATCCTTGAAGAGGGCCCGGAAAGAAATTTCTGAACTTCGGCAATCTTTGGACAACCTGATGGAGTCGGAGACCGGGAAGTCCATGTGCGCCAATGCCGTCCTGACCGGCATTGAAATCCTGCGGGGAAAGCTGCAGAAGGACCACTTTGACCTTACTTGGGATCTCTCGGAGATGGCCGAGTATGTGATCGGCGGGATGGAGACGCCTGGTCGAACAAGTGGGGCGCCCGAGCCATCAGCTCCCACCTCTCCTTCTCCAAGGGCGCCTAGTGCTGGGGATGCGAATTCAGGCGCCGACTAGATTAGCTGTCCTCGAGTGTTATCTTTTTCTTATCTTGTAATGCCTTTCCTTGCGTATTTATTTTTATATGTAAGAATCTATGTTTCCTTGCCAATTGGCTTTGCTTCCACCTTAACTTTCCCTTTATTACCAAGCTTCGCGTTTCCTGTGAGGGCGCAATGTTAGGGCGCTTTTGCAAAAGGCGGGCGCGAAACATGGCGCTTTGCTAGACTTAGCTTTACCGGGCGCTATTTTTGGGCGCTTTAATTTAGGATTACTTAGAATACGTTACTGGGCGCAAATGGTATGGGCGCTACATGGGGCGCAATGTTACTACCCCTTTAGATATCCGCTTTCACGTATAATAATTAATCCGATTCCAAAAAGTTGGGGCGCAAAATTGGGGCGCTTTACATGGAGAGGGCGCGAGTATGGCGCTTTACGTGATAAGGCGGGCGCAAAACTGGGCGCTTTGGAAAACATAACACACAAGAAAAACACAACTCCGCCATAAAATGGACTAGTCTTGTATGTCTATTCACCTTCAGGTGCCTGTTCCTCCGCTCCTTGCCTGGTACTTGTCTCTGCTTCAGGCGCCTCATACTTGCGCAAATTTTGTGCATTCCACGTCCTCTTGACCTTCTTGCCTGATAGGTGTTCCAGCTTGAATGTACTTGGACCAATGACCTCTTGAATGCGGTATGGCCCTTTCCACTTTGGAGCCAACTTCCCTTCGGCCGCTTTGGGGCGGAAATCCCTTTTTAGGACAAGGCTACCTTTCACGAGGTTGTGCGCCTTCATCTTCTTGTTGTAGTACCTTGCCACTTGACCCTTCATTGCCTCCAATCGCAACACCGCCATCTCTCGGCGCTCGTCCAATAGGTCTAGCTCATCAATACGCTCTTGGGCCTCCATAGACTCGCTTCGATGGGTCATCCTGAAAGTTGGGACACGCATCTCGACGGGCAACACCGCTTCGCTACCATAAGTTAGCGCGAAAGGTGTTTCACCCGTGGCTACTTTGAAGGAAGTCCTGTGCGCCCATAGAACACTCGGTAATTCTTCAACCCATCTTCCCTTAGCTTCTGCCAATCTCGTGTGTAAGCCGTGCAAGATACTCTTGTTTGCTGCCTCGGCTTGTCCGTTGGCTTGAGGGTAGGCCACTGAAGAGAACCTTAACACGACCCCATTTTCATCGCAAAACTCTATGAACTTTTTGCAATCAAATTGCTTTCCATGGTCAGTGATGATGGATTCCGGGAGCCCAAAACGCGTAAAGATGTTCTTCCTTGTGAATTTCCGCACTTGCGCCTCGGTGATTGAGGCCAATGGCTCTGCTTCAATCCATTTGGTGAAGTAATCAACCGCGACAATTAAGTACTTGTACTGACCAGGCGCCCTCGGAAACGGTCCCAACAGGTCCATGCCCCACTGAGCGAAGGGCCAGGCGCCTACATTTCCCTGCATGGGTGCCGCTGGGAGATGAATGTCGTTAGCATGGATTTGGCACTGGTGGCATGATGTCACGTGTCTCCCTGCGTCCCTTCGCATTGTTGGCCAATAATATCCTTGTCGGAGCAAAATTTTCTCCAGACTGCGGGCGCCTGCATGCATGCCACACGTTCCTTGGTGCACCTCGTTGATCGCCTCTAACCCCTCTGCCTCGGTAAGGCATCTCAAATAGGCGCCGGAATGTGATCTCTTGTATAATACATCATCCACGATGGTGCATCGAGCTGCCTTCCGACGAAGGCGCCAGGCATCCTTTGG